CATCTACCCCATTGTCAAGAGTGAGCATTATCAACCCCATTGTGAAGAGTGAAGCCATACAAGGTGAGCCGAGTGGTCTCGCAACGAGCTCGGGTGAGTTACGAGCCCACTGAGCCATTTGAGCCATTCTGGTGATAACGTTGACGTGAAACTGCCACCACAGCCAAGTGTGCCGATGCCGCAGTCTCCTGCTCCCGTGCAGAAGCGTGAGTACGGACTTTCACCGCCAGATTCGCGTAAATATTGTGCCGCTCTAGCGACGCCCGATTCGACTAGTCGAGCCGGAAGTCAGCTCGTCAAAATGTTGTGCGAGAGCCGACAACCCAACGAGCCAAGCCTCCAGCTCAGTCGCTTGCTCATGCCTATCATGGGAGGGCACCCGATCTCATTATTGTTGATTTTTGATAGTGTCAACCACCAATTGTGCGTCTGTTCTTTTAATCCGCCGAGTGAGGTTTCTTTGATATGTAGAAATAGAGTGTAGACAGTCAACAAACCTAGTAGAAATAAGTGCGGCTACTTCGACAATCCAAGCAACTGCAACAACGGCTTGGAACCATCAACCTTGTTTCACTGTGTCTGCAAGCTGTCAAGTAATACATTCATGTTGCATGAGCTCCCTAGTATATTCGCTTCGCATGTGTTTGTTTGCTATGTTTCTCCAGCTTCCACCTTCATGTGTTTCATGTGTCTCCTCTTTAACACCTTCCAGTTCCAAGGGACCCCTGTGGAGGCAGAAGCTACAAGGGCGATGGGGATTTGCAGCCAAGCATGAACCCATGCGGCCGCTTCCAGTGCCAGGAGACGGCAGAAGGTGGCAATAATTGCACCTGCAATATTCCTTCAGCTACCGTGCAGCCCTTTGTTGAGGCTGAAAATGGATATGGCTCCAAGACATGTGCTTACGGTAAGCTTGATTGCAAGTGAAGGCCTGAGTTTGCAAAATTGGTCCCCCAATTTGAAGTTTATGTCTGATTTTGGACTGTGCAAAAGCATCCATGCCCTCCTTATATGAATGTCAACGTGGTGAATAGAACAGGCGGGAACGCACCAAGGATTAAAAATACTGTCGTTTTTTTGGAAAAAAGGTTCAGTTCCAGCAAATTTGCTCAAAATTGAATGTAACAAGCATGCAGCAAGGCAAACACGAATATAGGTGATGCACGCGATTTTGCCGGAAAATTGCGAAGCGTTTGACTCGTCAGATTTGCTCGACGAAAACTCTGCATGGAAATTTGGCCTCTCTCTTCTATCTTCGCGAATGATGCCACGCTTGCGAGTGTTTTTTCACTTGCGAGTATGAAACCGTGTAAAAAGCGAGTATTTTTTTCCCCCAGTTTTTACTCGCCTCGTCTGCGGCAATGAAAAAAATTCGGGGCCCTGACTGAAAACGCGCCAAAAAGAAAAAACAAGAAAACAGAGAAGAAAAGAAAAGAAAAACTGGTCTACCATACCCCCCCTTTCTTATCCCAACATTCTCCCTTCTCCCTATATCCTCTCTCTCTCTCTCTCTCTCTCTCTCTCCCTCTCTCTCTCTCTCTCTCTCTCTCTCTCTCTCTCTCTTCTCCCCAAACCCCCCTCTACTTTTCCATCTCCGAGCCAATACCTGTGCCATCCGCCATCCTGCTAAACTCTGCGCCAGTGGACGTGTGTGGGTCATACTTCAAGAACCCCTGCTATGTGGGAGCATGCATCAACGATGGCAAGGGCGCCTACTCCTGCGTCTGCCCTCCCAACCACGTGCAGAGCACCACTGTTGACGCCTTCCCTACCTGCGATCCAGGTGATACCACGTTCAAGTTGGTGGCTCTACACATGCCAGTCTGTATTTTCTTAAATCTCCAGTGCATTGTGGTTGGAACACGCCTATACTTGCTTCCAGCAATGCGTGATGGAGCCCGTGTCACCTATTTCGCTGCACTCGCCCCCCTCCCTTCCTTCCCTCAATGCGTGTGCGTCCTATTTTCCTGTCTGCAGCGAACACCACAGCTACCACGATGGAAGTCAGTGGAGACAACTGGCTGTGCTCTGATGTTCATCAACTTGTTGGCCTATCACTAGATCAATTCACTCGTCAGAATGCTGTAAGGATTCGGTGAAGAGGGGGTGGGGAGAATGAGGTGGACAGAGCTGGATCCGGACTATGGGCTAGCCTCCATTCGGCTTCCTCACTTCACTTCGCCCATTAGTACTATCAATCAACTCGGTCTTGGTTTGATTGTACAGTGTGTCAACCATGACCATTGTTGAGACTTACATCCTGGTTTTAATTGATCAGCCCAGAATGGACAATGTCAGCTCCTTTGTTCACATGAAGAACCCTAGAATTCCAATTCGGGTAGTAGTACGGTGTGAGAACGCCACCGTCTAGGACTTGCTAAGAAGACGAGGCCATGCCTGTTTGGACTTTGGCAAGCACCTCTCACTTATACGTGTGTTTTGCAATGCAGGGCATCGATTGCAGCCAGCCAATGCCAAAGGGCAGTGTCCTTCACTTGGATGACTCTCCCGCCACACCCTGCACTGCCTTATTCTACTCCCTCAATGTGAGCCCTGCTGCCCTCTTTGCCACAACGCACCATGCACACAACTAGACCTGTGCAAAGTGACTAGTCGAGTATTGCTCGACTCGTCAAGGGGTAATGCTCGGAGAGTTTTTACCCGAGTCGAGTATATTTCCTCGAATTACATACTCGTTTCTCGGACTTCATTAAGAAAACTCAGCCGAGCATTATTAAATGATCGTCAATGCTCGTGCGAGCTCGAATCATGCTCGTCTCTTTGCACGTTAACTGCAACCTGCCACTGTGTAAAACCCCAGGGAAGGCCAGAATAACCCCGGGAAGCCCGGGGTAGCCTAGGGAAGCCCAGAGAAGCCCAGGGTAGCCCAGGGAAGCCCTGGGTGGCCCAGGGTTTACATCACAAATGATAACATGGAAGTCAGAGGCATCAAACTCGTAACTACAAAATAATCAAGTCGTGGCCAGGTCTGGCAGCCTGGTGAGCTTACGCATGCATGGGATGAAACATCATGCACCACAGGAATACCATGGTAAATCAAACCTAATAGCTCTGTCATCCTATGAAGCAATAAATAGTTCTCATGGTGATAATCTTCCCACCCACACAGCCCCACCCCGTCCTCTCACCACATCATTCAAACCAAACCACCCCACGTCATCACAATCACACTTCCTCATCCATCTCCAATCCCACGACATCCTCTGCGCCAACTCCAGCATGCTCTTTGTAAACTTGAGTATTATGCACACTTGCACGCGCTCGGGTCCAAGGCTATGCCACTGCCACGTGATCAGATTCCGACCCTGCGAGAATGTGCCCTCGCTCACCGCCGCAGCAGTTCGTTGAACTGTGAGACAACCCTGGAGATAGTTGGGCATGTGGAACCGTCAGCTGACAGGCTGACGGCATGGAATGGTTGAAGGAAGTCAGCAAGCTCCTCCAAAGCCTTGAGATGTAGAGATGTAGAGGGCCTTGAGGCGAGCGGCATCTTTGGCGTTCATGATTGCAGTTGGGGAGGATTTGTGGACGAAAAAGACGTCGTAGGAGTGAGAACGAGGGGCAGCAACCTCAACCAAATCCTTGACTAAACAAGTGGCATCAGCACGCATGACAAGACATTCTTAGCTCGCTTTTTCAATAAAAACATGACCGCTGCCATGCCCCTCAAGCTTACAGGGGCTTTGCGATAGTACGCCTCGATGATGTGTTGAAGGCGAATGGCGCGCTCGAGCATGAGGTAGGTTGAGCCCTCATTGTCATGGCGAAGACGCATCACCTTCGCTTTCTCATCCTTGTTCTCCTGGATTTTCTCGAACCCAATGAAAGACGCAAGGTCTCTAAGTATGCCCAGAGGCTTCTTAACGTCCAGCTCCTTTTTCAATGCTAGGTGGGCAGCTAGGTTGCAGATGTGCGACAGACACACAAGTGTATTTGGATTGGATAGGATGTGTACAGAACGAGCGTGTTTGTGGGGCAGCCACAGTTGGGACACGGTCAAAATATTATCAACCAAACCTAAACGGTCATGGCATGCTGCACAACAAGGAAAACAAAAAAGGGGTGCTGCCAATGCCAAGTGCAGTGGACCAACATACCTCACGTGCATGCTTGAGAACAACAACAACGACTGACTGTCTCAGCTCAACCATGGCTGTGATGTAAGGTCCAGTCACAGCCATCTCCTGGCCCACCACGGCAAAGGTACTCCATCACAGCGACATTGGACGAAGCGTTTTCCAACTTTACCACCTCGAGCAACACCTCCGTGATCCCCCTGCTTGTGTTATTGCCAGGTAGAGCTCTGAAAGCGAGGGTGACCTGCCTCAGCTCAACCATGGCTGTGATGTAAGGTCCAGTCACAGCCAATAAGGACCAGTGGTTCTCTCCAGCAGTGGTTCTCTCCAGCGGTGGTACTCTCCAGCAGTGGTACTCTCCAGTCCATATGTCATGGGTCAGCGAGACAGCCCCTACCCCTTCAGCACTAAGCTCTTCCTTGGGCTTGATCCTCGCCAGTCCTGCCAAGCGGGTGATCTGGCGGGCTATGGTGGTGCGCGTGGGAATGACTCGATCTTCGGCTGCTGCTGCTGCCCCGTCCTCGGCCACACCCTCAGTGGGAGGCGCTGGCCAAGTCTGCTATCCTGACCACTCTAAGCCCCCGTCCGGAACCTCCCCCTTCTCTCCATACACCCCCTCAGGAAAGTAATCCTTCGGTCCCACCTCCCCATCATGAAACTTCCACAGCCATATTGCAAAGTGGTTCTTAAGCTGCCCTTCCATGTGGGCCCTGCCGGTAGAACAGTGTTTTCCCATGACAGAGATGGGCTTATTGCACTTGCGACACCGACGCCTCTCTTAAGGATCATCAAGAAGGCAAAACCGGGGTGGGAGGGGCAGCAGCAGTAGTAGAGGGTGTACAAGTGGTGTCAACTAGACCTTCAACCTTCTTACCATTCCCCGGTCCACCCCGATTCCTCTTTTTACCTCCCCCCCCCCCCCTCCCCTTCCATCTCCTCCACCCCTTCGGCGACCAAGTCGGGGCAGTCTTCAGCAACGTCGCCATCTGCGGCCTCCCCTTCTCCGGAGTACACCTCCTCCTCGGAGTTGTCACCACTCCCCTCCTCATCTTTCTCCTCCTCGTACTCGTCATCACCCCCCTCCTCTTCCTCCTCTTCCACCTCCTCCTCCTCGTCCGCACCCGCCTCATCCTCCACTTCCTCGTCCCCCTCTGAACCCTCCGCACCAGCAGCATTGCCACCTCTCTCCCAAACCATCGCCAGCCCCATCGTCCCCATCCTCCGCCACCCCGGACTCCACACCTTCTTCCTTATCCAATCCCCGATCCCACCTTGAACCTCCCTCTCTGCCACGTTTGTCGGCCTTAGTTTCTCCAGCGGTGGTCCAAAAGGATTGCGCACCCACTTCAGGTGGCGCTGCTCTGCCGTGGTCATGCCAAGCTGCTTAACGGAAACCTTAGCTTTGCCATTACCTCGTCGTCCACCACCACGTCCACCATCCATGCACCATCCATGCACCATCCATCACCAATGCACCATCAATGCACAATCAATGGACCATCCATGCACCATCCATACACCATATATGCACCATGTATGCACCATGCATGCGCCATGCATGCACCATCCATGCACCATCCATGCACCATCCATGCACCATCCATGCACCATGCATGTAAAGGGTTTAGCAACATCAGATGGTGCTGTCGGGCAAACAGGACGTTGACCAGAGGCTGTTGACCAGAGGTCGAAGGAAAGAAATGAATGGCAGGAGATGGAATGAAATAGGAATCCGCAGGCAGTGCAGGTGGGACCAAAGAGATCATGGAAATAATGGGGTGCGAGGGGAATGATGGGGTGCGAGGGAAATGTTGGGGTGCGAGGGGAATGATGGGGTGCGAGGGGTCATATGGGATATGAGGGATCACATGGTGTGGTCGCCGAGTCTGGTGGAAGAACTCCTCTTTAACTCTCATCTTGCCCCATGACTTACACTCATTCTTGCACCTCACTCACTCACTTACCCCCTCAACCCCTCATTCTGCAATCCGCATACCCACCCACCCCACACCCACCCACCCTTCCACCCACTGCTCCCCCACATGCTGCATCCCTTACCCGAGTGCACTCACAGGCGAGTGAGCTTCTGCAGATGTCCCAGCCCTTGCAGCACGGGAGCTTTGATATTGTCTCGAGAGGAGGTGCTGCTGCATGGTGGGAAATGGCAAGCAGGAAGGTTAAAAGGCAATGAGGGGAGACGGCACGGAGGGGAGATGGCACATAAAGGAAGACGCACGTAGCGGAGACGGCAGGGAAGGTAGAATGCAGGGATGAGACATGGCAGAAAGGAGGATACGTCAGGGAGGGGAGAGGGAAGGGAGAGCAGACGGACTGGAAGGGAGGGAATGGTGAAAGAGAGAGGAGAATGACATATGAAGTGGTGGAAGATGGGGGAGGAACAAGAGCGTGCAGGCAGCAGGTGTGTGGGGATTTTGCTGGCCTGAGGTAGGCACCCGCAGAGGGGGGGCTTATGGTAGGCGTGCAGATGGGCGCTCATATGCTGGTAGATTGGGGAGATGAAAGAGGGTGGCAGATGGAAAACAGGTGCCCCTAGGTATTGCGACGGCCCATCACAGAGAGAAGCGAGAGCATATGAGAGAAGAGAGAGCACATGGAAGAAGAGAGAGCACATGGGAGAAGAGAGAGGTGTATGAGAGAAGAGAGAGGTGTATGAGAGAAGAGAGAGGTGTATGAGAGAAAATATTCAATTGACAGGTCCATGTGAAAATCCGTTCTGCCTAGGGTGTCCGGGGCAGAGGGAGGGGGATAGATTGCAGAGCTTCAAATCACTGCAAGCAGACAGGCAACATACGCAAACATGGTGGAGATTCAGTAAGGGCCATTCATTACAAGCAAGGGCAGTTCATTACAAGCAAGGGCAAATCGTTACAAGGGCAATTCATTACAAGCAAGGGCAATTCATTACAAGCAAGGGCAAATCGTTACAAGCAAGGGCAAATCATTACAAGCAAGGACGATTCATTACAACCAAGGCCAATTCGTTACAAGCAGGGGCAAGTTATGAAAGGATGTGGAGGATGGATTTTGATTACCATGGGGGAGAAAGAATGAGATATCAGGAGTCCCACAGGTCTTTGAGATAGGACAATGCGAGGAGAACAGTGGTCTGTGAGCGGACGAGGCTGTACCCTTCAATGGAGCTGTTGGAACAGAAGGAGTTGAATTTGTTGGATAGGATATGGAGTTGTACCATAGCAACCGGTGTCTAAAACAGTCAACCCCGTCCCAGCGTGTTGTTGAGGAGGTTTGCCAAAGGAAAAAAAAAAAAAAAAAAAAAAAATGGGCTGAAAAACACTGCAACAAACCTTTTTGTATGTGCAGATTGAACCCACGTGACTGGCTCCCGCCAAAAACTAAATTGTTGCCTCACACACGAGGAGTTGCCTTCAATGTCCGCACGGCGGCTGCATGGCAATCGTTTCGATTGTTGGGTCCAATTTCAACTTCTAGTTGGGCCTGGGTTCATTACTTCTTTTCACTCTCGAAGTCTCTAGTTTTTTCTAGCTTGGAATAGCTGAAAAGTTAGGCAATTTTGCCTAGGCAACTACCGTCATTATCGATTTAACTCGGACGCGTAAACTATTCGTGGTCCAGTTGGCAAAGGGCTTTTTCGAGTCTCTCGTAGGGCTCTCGTTATCAGACTAATTTGGTCAGATGGTCTAAAAATCAGACACAATTTTCTTTCATATTTTAATATCAACTGTTTATTCTCATATGGTTTTTGTAAACATTGCATTTTTCCATCAGCGAGTATATTTTCATTATAACTGACGGGTTTTGAAGTATGCTAGCAGCTAGACTATCGCGGTTTTATCCACCAATATGCAAATACTCGATACGTTCTTGCTTGTTATCCCTTAGTCCTTTGTAACAATTGTTCTTGTAGTGCAGACCAGCGTTCGATTTCAGGCACGGCTGCAAATTGCTAATCCTCCCCAAGAACTTCAAGTTATATTTAGCCTGAAGCTTATGTCATGTCTAAAAATTAGACTACCAAAGGTTGATCATGTTTCCTAAAGACCATTTTTTTTTCAGACTATTCTTTTTCAGACGGCTCAAAATGCTAGTAAGAGCCCTGGTCCTGCGCAATTGTTAAATTTCTTGTCACTGTCGACCCCTCGCGGTTGCCACAAGACGTCCTCTCCTCCCATCACCTACCTCATCACCTTCACGCTCGCCTCAAAATGCCCTCGAGAAACCTTACTCCCTTCCCTCCCATCACTCACCTTGTCGCATTCGCGCTTGCCCCGAAACACCCTCTTGTAGCCCACCCTCGTGCTCTTCCATCCCGCCCCCTCGCCTTCACGCTATCCCAACCTGTCCCCTCTGTGAGTAGACCTGCACTGTGAGTTCCTCGATTGATCCTAGGGGGGTTACATGCGCGTTCGCCTGGGGGATTATGGGTGCACGGACCCGCCACACAAACAACCTTTCTATCCCAGTGGTCTAGTTGCAAAGATTCTGGCATTGTATCAGAACGGTCGCTGTTGAGTGCAAAACATGATTTGCACGTCAACCTACCGCCTTCGTTGATTGTGAGGAAAATGAATTTCTTTGTTTGAAAGTAATTTGTGGTGTGTGAGATGCGCATTTGTGTACTTTATGGTTATGCTGGCTGGCACGTGGGGTGCTCCAGATTTCAGATGGAAAACTGAATTTCTTGCTGTCTTGGCAACAGAAAGTTTCGCCGAAAAGTCATGCCACTTTGCATGATGATTTCGACGAAGGTACAAAACGGTAAATTTCGTTTTAGCACGGAAAAACGGTTTTCCCACACGAGGCTTCATGAAGACGCAATCGGTTTCGTGCCCTTCTCCTGTGCCCCTTTTCCCTTCCCCTTGGCGCCTGGTTCCCGCCGCAGTTGTTGTTGTTGTTGTTCCTGGCCACTAGCGCCCTTTGTTGTAATGCTTCATGTTATAGTTCTTCTTCCCCCCCTCGTCCTTGCCACCCCTCATGCACGGCCGAATGCCGGGCCGTCGAGCATCGGCTTGGCGTGAGCCGCTGGGTGGGAGGGATCCAACTCACCAGGAACTAATGAGATGAAATTGAGCACCAGGGCCTTTAGTATGGGGCTGTACTGCCTATAGGACTCATAAGCAGGCTACAGTAAGTGAGGGGGGTCTAAAGGAGCAAAGAACAGTGGCTATACTTAGGGCTATACTAAGGATATGGGATGGGACCGCCTGCCATCTCTCTCGGCTGGGAGAGACTAAGGACCAGACAGAACTGATAATTGAGCACGAATCTAGATCCTCTAGAGGCTATATACTAGGGCTATGGAGGGTAGAGAGACTTGCAGACTAGAGACCAAGTCCCTGGGGCCCTCTCTCTCTGCTGCACCGGGTCGGTTACTGTAATGTCAGTGACCCATGTTTCTCCGAACATCGGGTCAATACTTGCCAGATCCGCCCGCCCTCTTACGGTTGACTAAAGGTTAGGACAGGGAGGTGTCATGGTAGGTGATGTATCCCCCCTCCCAAGCCATCTGCAAAGCTGTATATATTAGGGCGTTGTGGGTCCTGACCACATCACCGCAGTTGCCACAGCAGAGGTGATTCGGGAGACTTGGATCGGTGTTGGTCGAGCCTGTGCGTTTGCAAGGGCAGACGTCAATGACCGCAAGGTTCTTGTCCAAGCAGAAGCTGAGGGCCATGGAGAACTGGCCAAGGAGGTTGAGAGGTCAGCTCTCGTGGGGACGCATGTAGCCAGTCGCCCACCCCTGCTGCCTTTAGGCTGATTAGGCGCAGTGCATGCCTGTTGTCAGTACTTGGTTTGTCCAGCCGTGTGTCGGCTAACAACTCTGTGGCTGTGGCCAGGTGGATGTTTTGGGAGAGTAGGACATGCCGGTTACCCTCACTGGGTGTGACCAGAACTGGAGGAGGGTCTCCTAAGCCTCGGCAGTCATGTCCGCTTCGAGTTGGGAGAGGGTGTTGATGGCCGGTGGAGGTGGCGTCTAGGTATGGGAGAGGGGGGTCACTGCGTTGCCGAGGATGTGCTCTGGAGGCAGGTTCGTGATTGAGTGATATGCAAGCTCTTGAGGATCACGAGAATGGCAACGCAAGCACTGTTGTCAGTCAATACCCAGTGGCGGTCCAACTGTCCAGTTATGGGTCTTTATGAGAAATGTCTTTGTTGATGGTATGCAGCCAGATCGGTCATAAGCTGCACTCGCTCGCTGTCACGTATGGGCTTTTACCACCCATCCATCTGTCCCACCACCCCCACCCTTCTTCCCCCTTCCCCTCCTACACAACACGCGCTTCCCTGCTTGCTGCAGTGCTGGGGCCAGGTGCCACCACAGGTTCAATAAAAGCGAGTGTAGGAGCGAGGATGTGGTGCGAGGAGGAGGCAGGAATTGAAGAGGAGTCACATCGGGAGAATGAGGATGAAGGATGACCTAGGGTCGCATGGCGGGTTCCATTGAGAATAGGGTGTGTGATTGTGGGGCATCGAGTGCAACAACAGCAGAGGCAGCAGAGGCGGGGTGGATGGCGCCATTAAAGGTGCTGTGGGAGACGTAATGGCTGAATCAGCAGTACAAGCACTTCGCTTTCACTTTACACAATTTTGAAAAACACTTCACGTTTCACACATTCTAATGATTAATTTGAAGAACTAGAGTAAATCATCTCACGGCACACAAATAGTCTTTCCTCCTACTGTTCCAGCGCAAGCGTTACCGTTGTAGTCTGTAAACGCCGCACTAGCAGCAGCTCCTCCACCATAGAAGCGGTAAGCACCTGAACATGTCAACGTTGGTGCAACTCGCTTGGCCCTCCCCTTGTTGCACAAACCTAACTGGAACGACCAATACTCTGCGCTGAGGCATATCTGGGATCGCAAGATACATGTAAAGAACGTGCATGGAAGTGTTAGCATGTAGGAGACACGAAACGTGACAAGGAACGCAAGAAAGAGGCAAGGGCAACGTGTGCTCTGCGAATCTTTGCATGGAAGTGGAAGCAAGCATTCTGTAATGATATCTCGTTGTGGTGGAGTGCACAGAAGATATATTCCTACTCTTGCTCTCCCATCTCTGATTGTTTCCTCCTCCCTTTCCAGAACCCCCATTCTCACCACCTCCCTCACACCCTCTCCTCCTACTCACAGCCCTCACCTGTACGCCAATCCTGCTGCCTGTCACGTAGGCCGAGGAAGGGATGGTGTTGGAGCAAGTGAGGCCGGGATTGTTGCGGTACAGCGCAGCCCATGGATTCCCACTGGAACTTCCTTGTGAATTGCCATTGGAGCTGCCTTCCGAAGGGGGGGCACTCGTGCTGGTCCTCTTAAGCAGCTGCTCGCACGTGTCTCAGGGTGTGAGCGTGCCGTATCTGATGCACTCAGGGATGGTGAAGGCGAAGGCATCGCTGCGCTCGAGGCACACAGAGCGGCCCGCCTTGATGGATGTGGAGCAGTCAAGGCCGGGGTTGAGCTCAGTGAGATCAGCTTCAGTGAAGTTGAGCTGTTTGCTTATGGATGCACAGGTGTCCCCCTGGAGGGTCGGACAGGGGCAGGGATGGCGATGGTTGTTGTTTGCTCCTATCTCAGTGCCATGGTGACAATGATGCTATGTGTTGAGATGACTATGCCAGCTGGCTGTGTGCATAGTTTGATTGGGGCAAGAAATCAAGAGGTCTCACATTAAGGGTGTAGAAGAAGGCAGTGCAGGGTGTGTCGGGAGTACCATCCAGCTGAAGGACACTGCCCTTGGGCAATGGCTGGCTGCAATCAATGCCCTGCATTGGGAGACACGTGCATGAAGTAGAGGTTTGTACTAAACTCGACATAGGCCAGTCCTCCTCTTCATGCCGGGTGCACGAAAGTAAGGCCCTCGTACCAGAATACCTCATAGTGGAATAACAAAATACTCTTCTTGTCAATGACAGTTAAAAATGTTACTTTGATGATAGCAGAATGCAAAAACGTCTTATTGAACGAGAACAGAAGTGATGCTGCTGCTGGGAACCAACCGGCGGTGCAGTGAGAACTCAGGGGTAGATTGAAGCAAGATCCAACGGATGAAGTGATGTGAAAACAAGTCACCCCCTCTTCACCCACCGCGTTTTGGTCAGCGAAGTTAGTAAGTGAGAGGCCAACAAGTGGATGAACATCCGAACACATCCAGTTGTCTCCACTGACTGTCATTGTGGTGGCCGTGGTGTTAACTGCAGGCAAGAATGGGGAGTGAGATGCAGGCAAAAAAGGAGAGAGAGAAATTCACACATAGAAGATCTGAAGGAAGTTCAACGTTTTGCCAACATCTATCGCTGCAAGTTCGTCATGATGGTATAGCACGCAGAAAAACTAAATCAATATCACAGACATTGGGAGGCAGCTACTTGGGCTGCCCAAGCATCACCTGGATCGCATGTTGGGAAGCCGTAAATGGTTATGCTTTCTATGTGGTTGGGAGGGCAGATGCAGGAGTAGGAGCCCTTGCCATCGTTGATGCATGCTCCCACGTAGCAGGGGTTCTTGAAGTATGAACCACACACGTCCACTGCCAAACGTGCACCAGGGTGGTGGATTGTAAAGACAACGGGGATAGGTGACAAATAGGCAAGATAAGGGGCAAATGAAAAGGAGAGAAGAGATACGCCATACGAGAACTGTCAATGACGATGATGAGAAATGAAACACAGCATTGGCCAGTGCTGCTGTGTCAGCATTGCTCACCGAATTCACATAATAAGATGGCCTGATATCCACATGGCTATCGTGCCTTCTGGCCTGCACTAGTTATCGCATTCATTTTGAGAATGCTTCAAAGTGTGGAGGCGTTTCATTGCCACACAGGCCAGGCCAAGCATGCTTGAGAGTGGAATCCGTACTGCAAACTCATTGTTCTACTTGCAACTGAACATACCATAAGCACATGTGGTGAAGCCATCTCCGTTGACCACCTGTACAAAAGGCTGCACAGTAGCAGTAGGAATGTTGCAGGTGCAGTTATTGGTGCTCTCTGCAGTCACGCCACATCTGAACCGGCCACATGGATTCATAACTGGCTGCGGCCTATCTCCCTGGTAGCTGCTTTGACCACAGGGGTCCCCTGGAACTGGGGGGTGATGGAGAGGAGAGGATACACTTGAAACACGTTTGATGGACATGCTTGGGGCGAAGAAAACTTCCTGTTTGGTTTGATCCGAACATGTTTGAGTCGAACCAAACAGGGGTTCAGTATGTTGCTCAACCCTATCTTCAGACACGAGGTAAACCCAAGTTGCATTTCGGTTTGTTCAAACAGGTTCGTGTATACTCCAACCAGTATTTTCTTCCCAAAAACACTCAGACTCGAAAACCTGTTACATCGTTCAGGTTGAAGCAGCTCTGTTTGGTTCAACCAGGGTGCCGAGCTGTCTCAAACCAAACATATTTTGTTATTGTTTTGTTGTCCTCCTTCCAGTGCGACCCACTTACCTTTGCTGCTACTCATCTCACAAGGTTTGCCCGTCCTCTCCAGCTTTGCTGCATGGGCTCTCTATCTTTTTGAAAAAGCTAATACCTTTTCCTGTTTTTCTCACTTCCACCATCAATACAACTACGGGGTCAATGCCAGTGCGTGGACAAGGCTCAGGCAAAGCCAGCCTCCACCCTCCTACCAGTTTTGAATTGAACACGGGCAATTCGATTCGCTGTTGGTGAAGTATTTGACTGAATTCAGGGAGTGCCATATTCAACCAAGTTACTCGTTTCCACGCTTCAAGATGTCATAAATCATAAGAGGCCCTAGAGGAACGGGCGGTTTTGTCTAGAGATGAGAGCAAGCAACCGTGGCTTGTAGCAGAGGCTAGGCAGCACGGACCACATACAAAAGGGCTAGAGGGTTAGATGAGCTACTCTTGCCTGACAGAGAGGGTATGCGTGCTATTGACAACGGGGTAGATCCCTTACTCTTGACAACGGGGTAGATGCCAGGCAGCACGTTGATGCCACACACGCCATCCCCTCCCTGAATGTCCATCCGCATGTGACCCTTGTCGCCCCAATCCTCTCCCCACGAGTTGCGGATGATCCAAAACGGAGGAGCAATGCGGGTCTGGCTGCCATCATTTCTTATAATGAAGTAGCCAATAACGAGTACAACATGGTTGAGATTGCCTGTGTAGCAATCAGGATCCTGGTATTTGTATGTCTGACGCGAAATGGGGGTGAAGCATCCATAGGAAAAAGCGAAAAGCACGTATTTTTGCCAGAGTCAAAGTGGACCTACAAGAAGATATTGCTGAGAATTTTCTATTCAGTTCTGGGTGGTCATTCGCAAGGTGACAGCACGACGGTACGCTGAGTGAGGACTGCAATGACTCACTCACCCCATCATACATCACGAACGTTGCAGCAGACGCCTGGATGTGAACCACCACTGGCTGGTTCTGCACTGCCATCATGAGCCCCACATACCCCTTGAACCGCGCTCGCTCAAATGACTGCACCGGGTACGTTGTTGCCTGGGACGCGGCCAAGAGATTTGCACGAGGTAGTAGAGAAGGGGAGGGAGGAGGGGAGAGAAAGTTATGGAGTGTGAACGAATAAAGCGGACAGAATAAAGAAAACCCAACACGCCTCCAACAAGTCACTGTCATAAAGATTGAAACACACTAAAAGTTCGATTACTCTGGGAAAAACGGCCTCGTTTCCTGAAAATAACTCTTCTGTAACAAGCTATAAAAAACCTACGAAGAGCAAACAACTTTGACTCATGAAAAGCAAACGGCACCCACAATCACCAATGCGAATACTGAGACAAACAAAGCTTCATGCCTGTATCTCACGGCTAATTCTGTTTGCCCTACCGGGTCACTCTCCCCTATGAGCCCACTGGAGGCATCGAGAGCCACGAGTGTCTCAAAGGCGTGGGTGGGGGAGCCGCCAGCGGAGCACTTGTCGGAGTCGGAGAGCCCCATGAGGGCAAAGAGCGCCTCCACTGAGAGCTGGGGAGCGCTCTGCTGCTTTGCAATGCCGTATGCCGCCTCCACACTCGCCACCACCGCATACGCCCAGCACGCATCTGAGAGGAAGGGGAAGGTGATAGTGAAGCAAGGTGAGGCGTGCAAGGAGTAGGGAGAAGTTTCCAATGGCACATACCCACGTTCACATCCGTCTGTTTTGACCGTTTGTCATTTATCCGTTGCACATTGCATGCCAGCTTATCATGACTAGTGTACGCCTTGCCGCCAAAACTAGTCAGTCTTCGCCATCACATGCGCCTTAGTGGCTTAAGGGGGTAGTGTAATAAACGCGCACAATAAGCACGTACAATAAACGCGTACAACAAACGCGTACATCAAACGCGTACAATAAATGCAAACAATAAACTCGAATAATAAACGCGTATAATAAACGCGTACACTATCGACTTCTTTGCCATTGCATGGACCTCAGTCGATGGATTTTCCAAGGACATACAGCATGAAAAACCAGCAGCTTCTCTAAGAATACAACAACAACAACCCTCCAACACAAACCAGTACACTCCAAACGAATACCTCAGTACATCTCATGTGACTTCGGTTTCTGAAAGTATCTGAGTTCCCTGTCTCTCCAAGTGGTTCCACTAACCCATTTTATGGTCGATGGAACTACACCATTATTTGAAATTGCTTCTGGCACTACATTCCTTTATGGCTACTCTGTTGGTTCTGGCAAATTACCATGAAGTCTGCCTCCACCCACTCCGCCCAGCTTAGGAAGCCATCCTGGCTTACCTTGAACCACAAAATCGACCACAGATGGAACATCGGCAAAGGAGGAATTCGACCGAGGACAGGCCTAGGCGATTACAGAAAAGCAAACGATTAGTTTCTCATTCCAACAATGTTCAACTTGGAATGCCATGCAACGTCGGAAGTGCAGCGGAACAGAAAAAGCGCGCAAGAATTTGGGAAAACCCCGATCCTCTTCCCACTTACTGCAGTCTCGCTGGTTCTTGACAGGCCAGCCAAGGAAATCCACAGAGTCCCACGTGTGGAAGTCACGAAGCCTCCACGCGGCCTTCTTGGTGGCCGAGAGTTCAAAGTCCGAACTCACGTAGCGCGAGAAGGGGCTGCCTCGAGACGGTGCAAATGTGTCCTCTGATAGCGAGAGGCCAAGGGCTGTGAAAGAGGAAAACGGTAGACAAAAAGGGAACACGCATGTCGCGTGTCTGGATTGGTGATGCCACGGTACCGGCTGAGCCACGTGTGCATTTTGAGAGACTGGGTGACCCCTGCACCTGGGACACCGGCAGCGAGCAACGTTCTACCATCGAGCGCCCTCATCTACTTCCCACAGCCTCCCTCGGTCTCCTCTAGTGACCAACAGTGATAGCTAGTTAGGACTATGCGGCGGTGGTATTGCTTGTTTCTTGCTGTCTAACATTGGACCATGATGGCATGGCGTGGCCTGCATCTCCAGAATAGATAACTAAGAACTTATCGATGCCACACAACCAGGCTGTGGTGCCAACTAATGACAACCTTAGGTTCACTTCCTCTCAGCTCCTGGATGCCACGTGACAGGGAGCTCACCTTGATCTTTAATCAGGACTGCCTTGACCTTAGGAATGCCTGCAGGGAGATACAGCAGCAGTCATAAGGGCAGCCATCAGGTGGTGGTAGACTCGTTAGTCACACAAAGAGCACCTCATAAACAGGTAGCAATGGCAGGATCATGCCCATTAGCGACTGCGAGTCATGCGAGGTGCCACAAGCAGCTTTTATGTGAACAAAAAATAGCACAATAGCCCAGTCTCATTATGCTACACTTACCTTCTCTCGAATGCTTTCCGCATTCAGACAGTAGTGGCACCATTCTACTTGAGCACTTGAACATATGCTTACCTGTTTGCACAGCCGAGGAGAGAATGCCTAGCCGCTGAAAGGGCTTCACAGTGGTGGATGCAACGAACCCAAACGAGAAAGCCGGCTGCTTCACTCCCGGCTGCAGCACCTCACACAGCGACACCTTCCCCTGCAGCAGCGGCTCATCTGGCTTTGTATTCGAACTGGCCAGGAACACTTGAATGGTGCCGGGGTCCCCAGGCTCATACTCCACCCACGCCTTGTAGGAACTGCCATCCGTGAGTGTGAATGGAGACACCTCCTTGACCAAACACTCCTCTGTGCCGTTGATGCACAGCCCCACGTGCTGCTCGCCCGCATCAGTCGGAAGGGTGTCAAATACAATGGCCATGCTCCGAGGTCCCGCTCCACTGTACCCCACACCAGCAGGCTTCCCAACCTTGGGCTTTGCTGCGATGATAAGTGCAAAGCCGTTGGACCCAGTAGTACCAAACTGGGGCATGAGAGAAAAGGTGAAGTTGACTCTGAACGCCAACCCCAAGCCACATCCCGAGGTAACACCAGGCTGGTACGAAAACAGGGTCACTGGCTTCGCCATGAACTTCCCCATTGTCTCCTTCTTCGTGCCCTTGGTGAGAAACGCGAATGGCGGGAGGATGTTCACCGCGGGCCCTGCAGAGTTGCGAGGGAGGTGCAGCAGGACAGATCATGTGGTCAGTGTTATGCGGGCAAAGAAGGTAGTGAAAAATCACTGGTGGTGGTTGCTAAGCCACTCAGATGGTCGGATTTATAAGAATTATATGGTATAACCCTATGCTGCTCTCTGTGTATGTTGCACTTGTAATAGACGAAGCTTACCTACTGATGTTAACGTCGGTAAGATTGCAGCAAAGACGATAAGTAGAGGAAAGGGTTATGAAGGGCAAGGCAAGGTGCACAAAAGTGTTTCGTCCGTTGAACCAGTGCCTACATAGCAAGTCTGACCTGAGAAGCGATTGAACTTGAACCGAGTAGCGACTGGGCGGTTACCCAAACCGAACTGAACATGGGGAACCAGGAGTTAGGCTTGAGCAAGGTGGCGAACACCTGTTCGGTTCGCCTCGAACGTGTTCGAGGCGAACCGAACAGGTTTTGTTTTTCAGCTTAAATCGTTCGCCCGAACGTGTTCGAGGTTCGCCCGAACACGTTCGTGTTCGTGGCGCTGCTGCAAAATGCCCTGTGTCGAACACGAACGTGTTCGAGGTTCGCCCGAACATGCCTCCACAGGCGAACAACGAACACCTGTTTTTGGCTAAACTGTTCGCCGAACCAAACAGTGTTCGGTTCGGCAAAAGGACGTGTTCGAGAAGGGGCGAACACGAACATGTTCGTGTTCGCCCTTTGCTCATCCCTACCAGGAGTTTAAAGTTTGCTAGATGTGGTTGGAGTCAAAGTCTTTGAAGCTCAACTCGGCCCCAGCTGTTTCGGTTCAATTTGGCAGTGCATTCATTATAGTCACGTATTGTCACGTTTCTGCTGAGGTTTTCCCCTCAGTTTTTTTGTTTGCTTTAAACCAAGTGTTGAGGAAAATTTCAACCGATGCATCAGAGCCTGCTCGAGTAAAATAGTAGTGAGCTTCTATGATTCTCATGTGTATCGTAGCAAGGTACTAAAAGAACTTGTTACCTGGTGGTAGAACACAGTCGCCTCGTCCATACCGCACCGATCCCGCACCACACAAGCATGTTGGCACCAAGCTGGGTCCGTCTGGGTAGCACAAGCCACGACCACCACAGGCAGCAGTGGTTGGAGAGATGCCACAAAACGCAATGCACTGTGCTGGGGGCCGCTGTGACTCAGGACTGCAAGCTTTGCTTGGTGAGAAGCAGTTGGCAGCGATGGTGTGTCGCTGGCAGTCTGGTGCGGGCACAACACCCGACAGGTAGTTGTCGGACAGGTCCGCTGGAAACAGCGACGGGAGCTTCACCAGGGGGCCTGTGAGGTAGTTGTGAGAGAGATCGCTGCAGGGGAACGGGAAAAAAGGAACGGGAGGTTTACATGGTGGGGTGAGGTTGCAATGACAGGCAGGTGATAATCACACAGAAGTGTAAGGAAAATCAGAACACATACATGAGGTGATGGGTGAGTAGAAGTTGGGTTTGAGAAAAAAAGGAATGCAGGGGGGAGAGGGAAGGGACGAGGATGAAGAGAGGTACAGGAGCAACGAGGGAGAGACTGTGGAAAGTGGAGGACGGGGGAGGAGGAAGCAATGGGAGTCAATCGTTGCACTAAACTGGCTTCATTTAGAAGAACCTCTCGCCAGCACGGCAATAGGAGCGAAGCAACAAAGAATGTTCTCCGGGTTGGAAGCATGTGAAATGGTGGGCACAATCAGCACAAACACTCTGCCTCAGATGCTGGAGTGTACTTGAGAGCGCACAAGACGGAGTGGAAAAGATTGTGGAGAGAATAGAAATGTATAAGAGAATGGTGTAGGTAGGAGCAAGAGTGGAAGTATGCATGTGGATTTTGTTTGTCAGCACCGTACAGGGTCTGCATGTCTGTCAGTCTGCTGAGGCTGGCAGGTAAGCTTCCAACGATCTGGTTGTACGCAAGTGACCTGATGGGCGTGAAGGCGAACAAGTGACAAAGCGATGCATGGCAGGGCCGAGGAAGAGTCTGAGCCGCGTTTCGGCTCGCATTTGCAACAACCTGAGCGACAAGATTTTGCTTTCAACTCGACTTGCAGCAAGATGGAGAAATGCCATGTACAAATGCACCACGCAGGAGGGCGGAGCCATCGAGGATTACCATCTGTGAGTCGACAAGCCGCAACACTGTTTCTCAACCAGTGGTCCTGTTTAGGGTTGAATGGGGCCCGACCAAGCTGGGAGTATTCCCAGCTTAGTTATCTCTCCTTCGGTGGGCACGTTTCTTGCAGTCCCCTTGCAGCTTACAGGTAAGTCAATGCAGTCATATTGCCAATTGTAGAAGGAATCGTTCCACTAAGACGATTTTTTGCAAGACCCCTGTACACGCAACAAGGCAGTAACTTCAAAAAGATCTGAGATAGAATGAAGTGCTGCAAAGCGCGGGTATGCTGCAAAGCGCGGGTATGCTGCAAAGCGCGGGTATGCTGCAAAGCGCGGGTATGCTGCAAAGCACGGGTATGCTGCAAAGCACGGGTATGCTGCAAAGCGCATGCACTGAAAGCGCAGTAAGGTGTGTAAATAAGATAATCCTAGCTGCAGAAAAGGGATGTTCATGGCTTTGAAAAAGAAGACCATAAGTGCAGCAGGCATGAGCAAGAAACCAACCAATCTGGTTCATTTGTTCTTTTTTGTTTTGTTTTGTTTCTTGTTTTGCTTTTGTTATTTCTTCAATAAGATTAGACCCAACTGGTACGATGTCAAACCGAACCAGTCATTTAAACACATTTTGACTTCTACTCTTTCAGCAGGCTTCCCTTAACTCATGTTCGAAGGGCTGCAGAAGTACAGATGACGCTCAAGGGTCAAACCGAACCGTACAAACACGTGCAAGCAAACGGAGTACAAAAACCTAAGAGTCAAACACACAAGGAAAATGGGGTCAAGCATAGAAACAAAGAAATCTACACCACAGCATTGCTCCTGACGACCCAGCAGCACGGGCAGCACAGTGAGGTGCGCAGTGCGTGCAGGGCCATTGCCCCTCCCACCGAGCCTAATCAAACCCCTTGCCCTCAACTCGCTGACTATACAAGTGAAATGTAACACAGAAATTCCAGAACTTTACAAGTGAAATTCTAGGGAGAGTTGTCAAAATTCGATAGAGAGTTAAACTACTAACCCTAACGGTAATCCTAAGTGATCCTTGTACTAACCCTGGGGGCGGGGGGGCGGCGGGGGGGTGAAAAGTGAAGAAGAGATTTGAAACTCAAAACGAGTTCCAATACTGTAGATCTTTCTTCTTGTTAATAGGTCGCACGAGTTGCTGAGTCCAACCTGGCCGGTTTTAAGAAAACTAGAAACCGCATTCAACCGGTTCAATATGATGTGGCTCGGCAATTAGTTCAACCAGGAGGCCTACAAAAAGGCCAACCATCAGATGTCTTTGCTGCGAGCCGAACCGTGGTATGATTTTGTGCACTGTGTGATATGGAGTGCTAACGCATCTGTGTTTCAATAAATGAAGGATGTCATGGAAGATGCATAGAGGTGTAGACCGAGGGGTGATGTGGTGGCATGGAGGCGGCATGTGGGACGGGGACATGCATTTGGCGAGGACAGCTCACGATTTCCACAACTCACAAATATTGAATGGAGGAAATGTTGCTGATTGATGAAGGGATGATTCCCGTGAACCTGTTCGAGCCAAGACCCCTGCACAATAGTACATGCAACCAGCAAAGTGCATGCAACCAGCACAAGTACATGCAACCAGCACACGCACATGGCGCCAGCACACGTGCACATAAACATTAATTGCGAGTTGCTGCAGATGACGCAAAACGAGACTGAAGCACCGTTCAAGGGGAGCTCGAAGCACATCAATCAATCATGGGCTGGTCTTTGGAATTGGGGAAAGCAGGAGGAGACACAAATGAAGGGTGGAGAACTACAGAGGCTTGGGTTGGGGTTTGCACGCTTACAGCTGATTGAGAGACACAAGTGCGGAGATCGTTTCTGGCAGGCTGCCTTCTAGCTCATTTTCCTGCAACAAGCTGCCATGCAGTGCCACGAGAAAACAATTCCAAGAGGTTAACGAACACGTGCACAAGGCCAAGAAGTCACTAGAAGCTTCAGAAGACCTCTAGAAGAGATGAGGGTAATGAGAGAGGGCAGCAGTCTCCTTGCTGACAACGTGATTTTCACTCGTTTTCACTCCTCTGCTGCGAGCAGCTGTGAGGCCTGCGTTGGTACTTGGGACTCGTGTGACCCTGCGCTAGAAGCAATGGCTGAAAGCCACATCCAAACTCTTTCGATGCATACCCGTGTCCCAACCAGCTCGATTGCTTAATGTACACAACAGGAATGACCATAGTCCGTAAACAGCAAGATGAATCCGCCAACCTAATACTTAATCACTCACTGCGCACGGCGCACACAGACTACCTCGATGGACAGGATATCCTAACACAGGAAGGTGCATGAGTGGAGTTGTGTGGAGATGATTGGAATGTGAAAGAGTGGAGAGGAGGGGAAATACAAAAGGCAGAAAGAAACCAGAAGGGACTTACAGCGCCACTAGTTTCACAAGATTGCCGATTGCAGACGAGATTGTGCCATTGAGCTTATTCTCATTGAGATACCTGTAATGATACATACACAACAAGCATATATGCAGTACATAAAAGACGAGTTTAAGTTCGCACGGAAGAAATGAAAATAGAGAACAGCAGAGAGGGGCCAACCACATTGGTATGCCAACAATATCTGGAGAGCACTGGAGCACAACGTAGGCACAAGCAATACTCGAACTTGAACCGGCTCGGGTCAAACTTGGTTGAATTGGCAGGTCTTTTTGAACCGGGCCTGTTTGGTTCGGACCTAGACCTGAGTACTGGTCAGGTAGTTAAAGCCAAACCCGAACCAGCTGGGGACCAAGTCAGTGTTAGTGCTAGCCCTCAATCTCACACATTGTACTTTATATTTTCTATATCCTAGAGTAGTGTAGTTTGCACTTTGTGTTTGGTTGGGTGTACACCTACATCCCAACCAAACCCAAATGTAATCTCCAAGCAATCTCCAACCCACCAATTGGAGATTGCCTTGGGATTACCCACAACCCCTAGGGGTTGCCCACGATTCCCCTCCCCATCCATTCCTTGCTCATCTTGGATGTACTTAAAGAACTTCAAGTTCATTACTAATGCATCACTTCTAAGCCTAAGTTCTGACAGTCAGTACAAGGGAATTGGAGAACATGGGTGTGGGCTGGCATCGCGACCAGAAGCAGAGGAGAGGAGAGGTGCACTAAAGAGGGGGAGCATGGAAGCCGTACAGCCTTTGCAGGTCCGTAAGCTCGTAGAGTTCATTCGGGATTGAGCCAGTCAGCTGATTGCCCGAGAGGGATCTGCATCAATAAACACAAATGGGCATGTGATACAGGGAGCTTTTTTTGTGCAGGCATGAGCAGCATTTTGAGGCGAACCAGTTTTAGCTTATCTCGAGCTCCAAACAAACTCCTTTTGGTTTGATTTCCTGACAAAGCAGTTTGGCTCTAAGTCTACTCATGCCTGGACACAACCCTTGTGTGTTACAATACATAATCAGAGCAGATGAAGCCGTTTGTGAGCGCACTATTGGTGCGGGTGGTGGTAAGTGGAGCTGTTGCAAGACCATTGAACGGATGGAGAGGAAAGCATCAGCGCGCACAAGTTTCAAGACGGCGAGAAGTGGTGGTGGAGAGGAGAGGCGGCGCACAATCTAGAAAGGACAGGCAAGCAACAGCTTTGCAGGACGCCTTACAGCTTTGTGAGACCTTTAAGTTCACTGATTGCAGCAGGAATTGAGTCATTGAGATGATTGCTATAAAGGGATCTGCAACAATGAACACAGATGTGCACGCATGTGTAGTGATTGTGAGTGGACTTAATAGGAGAGGACGCATAGGAGGAAGAAGCAATGGAGACAGCATGCGTGAGGACTGGCATCCAGAGGAGAGGGGAAGTGGTGGATATAAAGCAACTGCGTTGCAGGAGGCCGTACAGGCTTTTCAGTCTTGAAAGGTTACTGATTTCATTGGGAATGGAGCCAGACAGCGTATTGTCCGCGAGAGATCTGCAACGAGATAGACAAACGGTCACAGGGTAGGTATATATTGGAAGTCCAATCTCTCATGGGAGTGGCTGGCATATCTGCACATGAGACTGTGCGTGCAAAATTGAAAACTATCTGCATATGTAGCATTTGAGTGTGTGGACGTATTTAACAGGTATACAAGAGGAGGGGGTTTCAGGCTTGGTGTGTCCGAGCACACAACTTTCTTAGTTGATCTGATATTGACACGTTGCTTGTATCATTCAGCCCACGATCATAACAGGTGATTCCATTTGTGAGCGAGCTAACACTACCAGGTTCACAAACACAGCAAGGGGAGGTGATGGTAAGAGAAGGGGAACTGATGCCCGAAGGTCAGAGAGAGGGAGGCCTGGTTGCGGACTAGCCTCAAGAGTAGGAGAAGTGGTGGAAAAGAGGAGAGGCGCAGAAGGTAGAGCAGGGCGCAGTCAAGAATCAATGTTGCAGAAGGCCTTACAGGAATGTGAGCGCCTGAAGATTGCTCAATACATCTGGGATCGAGGCACAGAGAGAATTGCTAGTGAGATCCCTGCAACAATGAACACAAATAAGCATGAGGTGGTGGTAAGTGGACCATATAATCAAGAGAATGGAATGGAAGAGAGATTATCGGAGGAGGACATGGGTGTGGACTAGCGTCAAGGAGAGGCGCTCAAGGAGGGCAGAACAAAGCAATGGCCTTGCAGGAGGCTGTACAGGGATAGCAGGCGGGAAAGCTTGCCGATGTCAACTGGGATGGAGCCCGACAGACGATTGTGCTGGAGATTTCTGCAATAAAAAACACAAAGGGGCACGCGGTAGACATAGGAAGTCCAACTGAAGCCTTCATAAAAACCACCGGTAGATAGGAGCGCCCAATAGGGGCAGGGGCCGGCTCGTGGCAACGTGGGGTATTGTCGTTGTCACAGGGCAATCTATTTTAGGTCACCCGGATCGCAGCAAGGTTTACTCTTTTGCCACTTGCTTGTAGTGTCGTAATGCAATCCACAAAACAAGATTACGTGATGCAACTGCATATGCGCCATTCTTACCAAGCATTTGCAAACACAAGAAAGGAGAGGGTGGTGGTAAGTGGGCCTGATGCAACAGTATGAAACAAAGAAGGGTTTATGGAAAGCATGGGTGTGGACTGGCTCGCATCAAGGGGAGGGGATTAGGTGCAGAGAGACGCACAAGCACAACCAACCAAGGAGCGGTCTTACAAGAGGCCTTACATCGAAACCAGGTTTCTAAGATTGCCGAGCGCAGTGGAGATTGATCCAATGAACAGATTCACTGAAAGATCTCTGCAACCATATCCATAGAAACGAACAGACACAGGGAGCTTGAGGGTCTACATGAGAAACGAATGGTATGTTCATGCGAACCACAACCTGTAACAACAGGTTGACATCATGTCAGCGTACTCAACTCTGACAGATAGCACTTGAATGGGCGAAGAAATGGAGAAGAGAGCACACAGATGGGAGGGGAAGTGAATGGAGTGGTAAGGATAAAACCAGCACGAGGGGAAAACATAAAAGCACACAGGAAACTTGGATCCTTACATGACCCTCAATTTCGTGAGTCCGTAAACTTCGGAAGGAATTGAGCCGCTGAGCCTACTTGAACGAATGTATCTGATATAATGAATAACATGCAAAAATGCCGGATAATAGAGCACAAAGTTTTAAGCTTGCGTGGCATGGGGCGCACAACTACACTGGTTGGTGGACATTATCAATACAAGAGCAGGACGAAAGAGTCGAGACAAAGAGGGGAAATAAAGGTTTGGATTGAGGGGTGTGGAGAAAAGAGGAGATGCGAAGACAACCATGTTTGTTTGCGAGCCAATGGTGTAAAGAATGAGAAGGTAGGGATAGAAGGGCGCGGTGAAGGAGACAGATAGGATAGGATAAATCAAGGCGGGTGAGGGAAAGTGCATGAGAGAAGCTGAGGGGGGAGGCGAGACACCAGCTTTTCAGTGAGCGCAAAGTAATTACCAGATTGCACCCTCCAGTAATTGCAGCATTGACTCTCTCGGATGCAAAGTCTCACCGATCACCTCACACAGCTGGCGCCTCTCCCTCCTGCCCCCTCGCCACCCTCTTGCCTTCCCCCACCATCCTCCATCCCTCTCCCCTCAACCACGCCCCTTCCACTTTTGAAACCTTCTCTCCACCATTCCACTAACCAGGCCTTATTTCTTTTCTACCCACTCCTCATACGTTCTCTCCACATCATCTCCGAACAGACCTTCTCCTCGCCATTCTACTCGTACATTCTTTCCACCACCCAGCGCTCAAAATGCAATTCGCCGTTCAACGGGTTGCAGAGTTGCAAGTGGGCCGCTGAGGACGTCCGACGTACAGCACAGAGAGTTCGCGGAGGAGGGAGATGGAGCTCGGAAGGCGCCCATATTTCTTGTTGACGCCGCCAGGTATTTGTCTGCAATAAAGTGCACCCGAACAGGCGCCACACGTGTTTCCCTCATGAGCCAACAGGGGCTTGAAAGAGCGGCTGGGCACTAGTAGAGGTGGCACTTGACTGGTCTACTAGTCATCATGAGTGCTGCAGGTCGCAGCTCACATCTGGGTGATCATCCCGCTCGTATCGCAGTCGATGCCTGTGGCAGCCTGGCAGGTAATAGGTCTGCCATTGAGCGAAGTCCACCCAGGCACCATCTGACCCCATGCAGTCTGGCAATCTCGCAGGAATGTAACTGTCAGTCGACGGAGGGAGGAAAGGGGGGAAAGGGGGAGAGGGGGGGGAGGAGGCGGTGGGAAATGACTCATTTGGTGGACGGGGGACTTTTGGTGGTCGTGCGTTTTGGAAATGGGACCAATACCGGTGCCTCTTCGTGCGTACGACTCGTACGAGTTGCACCAGCAGCAGCATCATGGCTGCGAACTGAGGCCGCTCACCTTGCGAGGCGGCCATCAGTTGGGCGTGGACCACGGCGACGGGCGGCGCCGTGGCCAGCGCGGCGAGGCACCACGCGAGTGCCAGCGCGGCGCACTGCGCGTGCCGCTCACGCGGCGGCGGCATCCCCCTGAGGCTCCAATGGTTTGCCGACTCGGACGCGGGAGCCCAGGCGCGGGCCGCGGCGAGCCTGGAGCGCCGCATGATGCTGCTCCCGACTTAGATCTTAAGCTTGTTTCCACGACTGCTCTCCGTAGTAATAGTATTGCTAGTAGTATGGGGCCGCGCTGTCTAACGATGCAAGCCAGGCACGGCAACCGTACGGTGCTTTTTGTCGCTGACAGTGTTGGTGTGAGTTCTCAAAGTATTCGGCACGGCGATGGTTTTGCTACTACTACCAAACCCGGTTTTCCTGGGCCAGGACGATACGGTAGCAGCTTCAGTACAAGCAACGAACGTCTGCATCGAGTGAGGCGGCATTCCGGACTGTGACGAACAGCCCTCGGCGATTGATTAAACGACTCCCACCGCAGTGTCGGCGACACTGCGCCGCGGCGACCCCCCGCGATCCGCAGCTCTATAACCCGCTTTTGGGGATGCGGGGGTTTCCAACATTTTTGGAATGCGACGGCAAAACCTGCTCGTGACAGTCTATCTACGAGCCCAGAGGAATGCACTGTGAGGAAGGGGGAAGGGGGGTAGTTGGGCGGGGGATGTCTGGACTGGAAGGTGTGAATGAAACGACTCGGAGTGCAGCGCGAACTCGAACCATGGAATAGATCCTGCACCGTTTCGTGGGTGCGGTTGTGATTCTCGAAGGTTCGTTGTGGGCGCAACCTATGGAAGGGAGTGACTGGTGATGTGACATGGCTTTCTTGCGTGCACCACATCCATCCGTAATGTTGTCGATCTCCAGAAGCACTCCACGCCACAGAATACACTTGGCGGAATACAGTAGCTGAAAGGACACTGGCACCGTCGGATCGGAACAGTTTGCTCCATCAAGCGCCAACTGCCACCTCAGCGAACGTCTGCTCCGAACCGGACAAACCGCCGTCGCTGCTCCAACGTCGTGTAGCGAAGCATGCGGTGCTGGGGCACAGCACTGCTGAAAAAGAGCGTGGGAGAGCTTCTATTCGGGCAGAGGCGTCGTGATTCCCCGCGAGTAATGGGCCGCGAGGAGGGCCCATGCCCTCGCCGCCGTGACCCGTGCCCGCGAAGGAAACCGGTCTGGCACTGACCTGGCACCGCCCACCTCGCCCGAACCTCCTGGCAAGGAAATCGAGACCCGAGCCTTCGGCCCCTGGCCGGTTCGCCAGGCCTCGGCTGCCCTTGGGGACTAACCGCCGAATCAGAACCCAAACGAGTGATGCAGCTCGGTGCGAACCTGGCTGACTCAGCTCACCGAGCCCGGACCAGCTGACGCAGCTCGGCCTGTGCTTGGATAACCGGGAAACCGGAAATCGTAATATACATGCATTCACGCATGCGAAATTCGTATGTCCAGGCAGGCAGGGAAAATCGTTACGAAATGAAGCCATCAAGGCACAGAAAAAGAATCTTGAAATATAAGTGTAAAATGCACGCACACTATAAGAAATCAGTGGTGCTTGTCTCAGCACATGGCAGAGGGAACGCAAGGGCAGGGTAATTCGTGCCAGAACTCAAGTATTTCGCGCCAGTGGTAAATTTTGTGTCACGCTTTGGCGGGTACACGACGTATTTCGCGCCCGCGATTTTCCTCCACCGTTTGATAGGGGTAGGCAAGGTTGTTTTGTGTTCCCGAGTAGTCGACCATGCGGAGAGTCACCATACAACGGGAGTGGACTACGGAGGAGGACACGAGGCATTTGCAAGAGTTTACAATAAGAAATTGAAAAAAAACATTGGAAATTGAGAATGAGAGTACAAAATGAGGCATGCAAGTCGCAGTTGAATATCTGCGAGCAGGTGCACACCTGCCGAGTAGGTGCCGGCAGACGGTTGCACCGTCAGAGACATTGCGAAAGTACCAGGTATAAAACGTTCCGACGGTTTCGCCAGATGTCCACCGTCGAGCGCGTGATGCCCAGGGCCCGTGCTAGGATTTGGGGCACCCTGAGCCCTCGGGGCACTTTTCTGGAATCTTAAAAAATGCCCTGATTTGTCAGGGCAAATTTTTAAAGCCTTCCTGTATGTTCAGGGCTTGTGCAGAAACTAATCCTGACCTGTTAGGGCAAAAACAATAGTGTTCAGGGTTCAAATTTTAGCACAGACAAAGACCAGACTCTGTTGAGCAGAGCAGAGCAGAGCAGCAGAGCAGCCGCAGCGCACATATAGTAGGTGATTTACTACTCAATTAACCCCTGCACCACCTCTTAGCCCTCCTCCTCCTCCTCATCATCATCATCGCTACTGCTACTAAACCCACTGTCGCTGCTGCTGTCGCTGCCATGTTCAGTATCTGCTTCTTGTCCGTCCTCCAAGACGTTCCCCTTTCCCGCCTTCCTCTGCTTCTCCCTTCGCTTAGTAGGCCTCATCTTCTTGCTGCTGCGCCACAAATCCACAACTTTACCCCATTCCGTGTCATAATCAACCAGGCTCAGGCATATCAGGTCACTGAGCCTGGCATCACAGAGGCTGGTCCTCTGCCAGGACTTAATCACGTTCTGGCGGCTAAAGCCGCGCTCACACTCGACGGTGCTGAGCGGCAGGACAGCCACCGCTCTCCAGAGGCGGACGAGGTTGGGGTAGCTCCGCTCCCAGTCCTTCGTTCGCAGCATGGCCGCCAGTCCGCGTTGAAATGTGTGCTCGCCTTTGGGAGCGCCAGCCAGAACAGGGACAAATGTCCTCAGTTCCCTCTTGGCGGCAAGCTTGTCCACACCTGCCACGCATTACACACATAACAGTGACAGAAGAGCATGTGATTCTGTTTATACACAGGGCAGCCTGCTCCCTTGGGCAGCCTGCTCCCTTGGTCAGCCTGTGATTCTGGTTATACACAGGGCAGCCTGCTCCCTTGGGCAGCCTGCTCCCTTGGTCAGCCTGTGATTTTGGTTATACACAGGGCAGCCTGCTCCTTTGGGACAGAACATGGAATTTCCTGGTTAGGGACAGAGCAGGGACAGAACACGGAGTTCGCTGGTTAAAGACAAAGCAGGGACAGAACACGGAGTTTGCTGGTTAAACACAAAGCAGGGGCAGAGCAATAAATGCGCTGGATGTACACAGAGCAGGGACAGAAATTGGCAGATTGTGGACATAGGACAGAATGGGTAAGACAATCTACTTGTGCTTACCCGGAAGGATGTCTGCTCCCTCGCTCGCCATTGTTCTCGTTGGCCATGACTAGTATGACTGAGCCAGCCGAGCTTCACTTGTGCTACTCAAACAGCAACACTAGAAG